GCGAGAGAGAAAATTTTAAAGAGGAGAAGAAAAGCTGTTCGTCCTTATAACAATATAAAATTTTATTACAATATAAAATAAAAATTGTAAACTAAATTAATTAGATTACCTGATTAAAATAATAAAATATTATCTCTAAATTAGAATTATATTATGCCAAATATTTCAGTAAATATGACATTAGAAAATCTCTAAATTAAATTGTAAGATTTATTTAAAAAAAAAAATTATTGGAATTCTCTTTACATTTATATATTTATGATAAAGTTTCATACATATTAGGCATAATGCCAAATTTAAAAGAATAAACTATATTTATTATTTATGAGATTATTTATTATCTATGAGATAAAAAAATCAAGAATTATAATTGTCCAATGTTTTCTTTACATTTATTTCTTGTTATAATAATTGATGTTGATACTTTATTTAAAAAAATTAGTTTATTAGTTAGAAAAAAAATAAATGAAACGTAAGATTCTTATAGAAAGCTTTGATTTTGGATACTCTTTGGATACTCTAGAAATCTAAAAAGTATATATACATATGTGGCATATGCGCGTTAATATTCCGTGTTATAAATCATATTTAATATTTCAGATTGCAAAGGAATTTTTTTATATATACAATAGCTATATAGATTTAAATCTTCATATCAAAAATAACTAAGGGGCCTTTGCCAACTGCGTTATACGTTAAAGAACCAAAGAATATAGACATGTTAGAGAACATTGTAGCTGCCAAATAATATAAAGACTGACAGATTTATGAATCTTACTTGCATCGACGTGCATCGAAACGTGTTAGATTATATTTCAACGTAAAACTAAAAGACAATAAAGTACAGTAAGCAACTCCGTTAGTAACTAAAACTAAAGCTACGTTAAGCTACCGTTTTTTGTGTACATAAAGAAAGATTAAATATTAAAAACAAAAATTTCATTAAAAGTTACAAATAACATCATTATATAAAGTATAATTATTATTATATAAAATATAATTATTATTTTAATTAAAATATATCTGTAATTTTATATGCAAAGCTATAAACGCTAAAAGATGTAATAAATAAAGATTATGCTAATAATCTTTTTTCATATTTGTATATGCACATATTTATTTTATTATGTAAAGTTTTTACAAAAGTTAAATAATTGTTCCATAATATCTATCATAAATTTTTAGGGACTTAAATGCGTTAAAAATTTAAACAGCCAATAATAAGCATACCTTGGCATCGCCAATCAATGATAATCGATAATTAATTTAAAAAAAAGGATGACGGATGAGAGAATGAAGAAATAAAAGAGAAGGATAAATAAAGAAAGAAGAAGATATATTTAAATTTAAGAATTTAATACGTAAATCTTATATGCAAAATGTACGCAAATATAAGAAGAAGAGAAGCGTTGGAGGGACACAGTTTTATTTTGGTCAGTGACTGCTTTTGCGTAACGGGAAACGCGATTGGTCCAGGCACAGCGTAGACGCATCGCGGCGCGACGCGTCGCGGCGTGCAGCGCCGAGCAAAGATAGTTGCGCCTAAAATGGCTCACGGTAACGTGATCCCTATCCAAATGCAAAAATACAATCCCGTTCTTGTAGCAGCATGTTACGTCGTTCGTTCCCTTCGTGACTCGCGAATCGTGAAGCAAATATTGCATCGTCGCAACGTAATATACGAGAAAAATGATTAACTTTATAATAAAACAATTAATCTACCAACTTAATTAATTGCATAATATAAATTAAGAAAAGTCTATCTGTACATGTCTATGCAAATCCCATATTCAGATATATGAATGTAACGTGAATGTAACGTTTTACATTTTATCAAATAATTATACATTCAAAAACTAGTTTCTCTCTATCTCTCTCTCTCTCATACACATAGATTGGATTGTTAAATCGTTTGTTGGCAAAAAATTTAGAAATGTATCTTGAAGTGTGTTAAAAATATATTTCGATCAATGTTTTTATTTTTCCATGTTATAATATATTTAATTTTGTCCTTTTATACCTTTTGTTATCCATGGAAGAAATCTTCTTTAGCTATTATCTTTTAAAATTTATTCGTTTTGAATTAAATTGTACATAGTTGTATATATTTAAATCATGATATATCTTTCTTCTTCGTATAACTCGTGTCGTACTATCCAATTAGGGTAGAACGAAGGATACAATCGAGGAAACGAACCGTTGATGAGCCGTTTTTTTTCCTGTCGCCGTTACATGCGATGACGATCGCGCCGCATTTTTTCATCAAATTATGTTTACATTACGAGACATATTGTAATTTAAACCAATTTTTCTTGTTGACCCGAAAATGAATCATTACGAAAATATATGAAAGTTTATAGTTTTGGATTTTTATTGGAGAGGAAAGATCGAATTTAATTCCGGATAGAATAAAATTATTTTAATAATGCTTCATATCGGTATTTTAATTATCTAGAAGTAATATTCTTTTATTTCTACAGTTCAAGGGGAGATTGTTATGCAAACGACACCAACGGTACCAGTGTAAGTATCGCAATACTTTTAACTGTAGCTCTTCGCAGCGCTATATAAGAAACGTATTACAATAATATTTTATCGAGAGACAATAATATTTTATTATAAGAATATTTTTAATGCGATTTCATTAATTTATTGGTAGATTTACGGGCAAGCCCGGGGATCCCTCACCACCGATTTTCGAACGAATCTTTAAAAATGCAAGATTCGCGCAGGGCGGCAATGCGATTTTTGAAGGTTGCGTCCGAGGTAATCCAAGACCAACTGTCTCCTGGATACATAAAGGAGTATCGTTGCTAGAATCGCGGAAGATTCGGATGTCTTATGACGAAAACACTGGAATTGTCACACTTCAAATTAATCAGATTGGTCCTGGGGACGAGGGCGAATACACGTGCAGTGCAAAAAACCAATATGGTAAGGGTTTCATCTACAAGCATAGTTTTCAATTAGAATATACCGGTTCATCTTTCATAAACATTTCTTAAAATCAATGATAATATGAAAAAATTTGTGGTCCTTTTCATTTCTTAGGCGAAGCTATTTGCTCAGTTTACATACAGCCAGAAGGATTTGATCTTCCGACAAAACAGCTGACGGATAATTACAAGAAAGAATTTACGCAAAGCTTCCAATCGAGCGAACAGAAAATGCAAACTGGAAGTCAAGTCTTCCAACGCAGTTATCAGCAAACGATAGATAAACAAAGTTACGTTAATGGTACAATTACGAGCATTCAAGATTTTAAGGTATTACAACTAAAGTGCACTTAATGTTAATTGTTTTAATACAATAACAATATTAGAATGCTCACAATAATATTCTTTTTCTCTCAAATGTATAGGTTGATACTTTCGAATATAGATTGTTGCGTGAATCGGAGTTTCGTGATTCGATTACTCGTCGTTTCGCGGGTGAATCTGATTTGCAAGTTTCTACGATAATTGATCGTACCTTGGGACCGATTGCACCTCCACAAATCACTCAAAAACCCAGAAATTCAAAACTCGTTGAAGGATCGGACGCTATCTTTACTGCAAAGATAACTGGCAATCCTAAACCAAGAGTGAGTTCAAGTTGCATTAAATGAGGACTGAAATAAAAACCGCAAAGTTAACTTTACAATACATTTTATTCTTTTGAATGTATAATTACTTTTACCTCTAACATTTCTAAGTCATATCACATCTGTCATTAATGAAATAACAATTTATAAAAAAAGAAATAACCTAATATACTTTTTATTAACTTACATTAAATCATATTCTCTTGTTATTGCAGTTAACATGGTTTAAAAATGGACAGAGAATTCGAGATTCTCAACGTGTGGAGACAAGTTATTCAAATCAGCAGGCTACTTTACGAATCCGAGTCGCCCTGCCGGAAGATAGTGGTCATTATACATTGTTGTCTGAGAATCCTCAAGGTTGTACTGTCAGTTCCGCTTATTTGGCAATTGAATCCAGCGATCAAGTAGATCAAGTTCCATATCAAACCACACACCAAAGAGATTTTATTAAGACTCAACAAGCAGAGTCGGTTACCGAATCTACTGACTCTAGTAAAGTTCTGCCGCCAAATTTTGTTCGTACCATTACAGATAAGGAAGCTACCGAAGGCAAAATGACGCGGTATGCTTTGACTTTATTTCCTTTAAATATCGTTTTTGATAAGTTTGTGATATTAAAACGAGATACTAATAAATGATATACTTTAGATTCGACTGTCGCGTAACTGGTCGTCCCTACCCCGAAGTTACTTGGTACATAAACGGCCAACAAGTTGCCAATGATATGACTCACAAAATTCTTGTAAATGAATCTGGTAACAATTCGTTGATGATCACGAACGTGAGTCGTGTCGACGCTGGCATAGTAACGTGCGTTGCTCGGAATAAAGCTGGCGAAACTTCTTGTCAGTGCAACTTGAACGTTATTGAAAAGGAACAGGTAATTGCACCGAAATTTGTTGAACGCTTCGTTACAACAAGCGTGAAAGAAGGCGAACCCGTAGTCTTTATGGCACGCGCAGTCGGCACGCCGATTCCACGTATCACGTGGCAAAAGGTATTTTAATTTCTACATATTTTATTTAAATTTCTAACGATACAATCACACAATATTTCTGACATCAAAAATTTTTACAGGATGGTGTACCGATAACGCCCAGTTCTGAAATACGTATATCAAGCGATGATAGCGGAGCTTCGACTTTAGACATCCCATGTGCCAAATTCTCAGATGCAGCCTGGTACCAATGCACAGCTCAAAATATAGCCGGTTCTACTGCAACTCGAGCACGGCTTTTCGTTGAGACACCGAAAGGAACAACCCCGGAACCAAGACGCCTGAATTTACCCCGACCAACGAAAGTTATCGAACCAGAGTGAGAGACTTTGCATATGTTATCGAATTAACAAATTAATATTAATCCTCCTTTTATTCTATATCTTTATTGAACCGTCCGAATGAGATGTACATATAATTGGTGTTTTATATCAATTAATAAAATCGATTTTCAGTCTCTTTAGTGAAAAGTCTAAGAAGCCGTAAGAAGATAAAACTGAAGAATGCGCAGTAAATGTAATAATGTTTGCAGACCAGCGCCTGGTCCCGAAGTGATTTATTTGAGACACGTGGAACGCGCGAAACCTTACTTGCCCCCTCCTGAAGAAGACAAAATTTACCCGCCGCCACGTTTCATCATACCATTAAAGGACGTTCATCAAATCGAAGGTGGACGAATTCACTTCGAGGCCAGAATCGAACCGGTGGGCGATCCCACCATGAGGGTAGAATGGTATGTCAACGGTAGAGCACTCGACGCGAGTAAGTAAAGAATTTTTATATTTGATTTTTATATATAATATTTTATATATAATATTTTTATATATAATATTTTTATATATAATATTTTACATCTAATATTTTATATATATAATATTTTATATATAATATTTGTTATATACTCACGATATCATCGAGTATCATCGAGTTAATTGACATTCACATTGACATATTTTTAACAGGTTCCCGAGCGACTTCTGTCTTTCGCTTTGGTTTTATTTCACTCGATCTCATTAGCATTGTTTTGCAAGATAGCGGGGAATATTTGTGCCGCGTCGTAAGCTCGACCGGAGTTGCCGAATCTCGAGCCACCCTCAGCGTGACCGGTGAATAGAGAATATTCTTTTAAATTTTTCTCTCGAGAAAACGTCATTTGTATTATATATAATCATAAATCAAATCTTTAATTTTTCAGCACGCGCTACGATTGAACAAGCGAGCCAACATCCCGACAGCCTTCAATATATCCAGCAGCTCGAGGATTACAGTAGGTATCAAAGACAGGAGAGTGTAGAGGAGACTTCTTCACAGAGGCCAGTTTTCATTCGTCCGCTTCAGGATCTTGGTGAACTACAGGAAGGTCGTAACGCTCATTTTGAGGCACAATTGACACCTGTTAGCGATCCTACCATGAAAGTGGAGTGGTATAAAGATGGAAAACCAATTACAGCCAGTGAGTACAGCCCGTCGAAGTCTGGAATGAGAAGAGGTAATCTTTTAAAAATTTATTAATTATTCACTAGGCTCAAGAATTACTAGCATCTTCAACTTCGGATACGTCTCACTTAATATAATGCACCTACGGGCTGAAGATGCAGGTTCTTATACCGTTAGAGCTGTAAATCGTTTGGGAGAAGCCGTCAGCACTGCAACTCTTCGTGTCTTTGGTGAGTCGCCTTAATTTCGCGATAAATAATTAACTGTTTTTTTTAATTATTTTTTAATCCTTAAGAATCCTTGAATTATTGTTTAGCGCGTACAAGCGTAACAACAGACTTGGGTATCCCCGAACAATCGAGATACATTGAGGCCGCCGAGGAATTGGAAGCCTATCAACAGGCGATGCACCAGAAATACGTGCAGGAGCAGCCTGAACCGAGTAGCCCGCCGGAATTTAAATCGCCTATTAAAGATCAGAGCGGCATACGAGAAGGCGGATTTGCTCATTTTGAGGCACGTCTCGAGCCAATCAATGATGCTGATCTCCGTGTCGAATGGCTGAAAGACGGACGATCTGTAGAAGCTAGTAAGTAATATACAATTCTTCTGATTGTAAATGCATTCCATAAATCTATATATTCATGGAATATACTTGGAATTAGGTTCTCGGATTACAACCTTCTTCAATTTCGGTTACGTGGCGTTGACCATCAAATATGTAACGATACATGACGTCGGCGTATATACTTGCCGAGCCTACAACAGAGCCGGCGAAGCTCACACTACAGCTCAATTAAGTGTAATCAGTAAGAATGATGTTATTTATGATAGCCAGCACCCTACTGGTCTCCAGAAAATTCAGTCTCTTGAAGATTCGAGTAGATATGCGCGACAGGTTCAGGAGGAAACGCAAATTACACAGACACCTCGATTTTTGGGTAATCTTAAAGGTACCAATAAGATTGTAGAAGGTCAACGAGCGCATTTTGAAGCACGCGTCGAACCACAAAGTGATCTTACTATGAAAATCGAGTGGTATCACAATGGCAAACCCATTACTGCTGCTAATAGAATCCAGACGTATCACGATTTCGGATACGTTTCCATTGATATTCTTCAGGTTCGTTCTGAGGATACTGGCACATACACCGTTGTGGCTAGAAATGCCCGCGGAGAAGCTCGTTTATCCGCCACTATGACCGTAGAGAGTAAGATATATAATTTCAACTAAATAATAAAATATTCAATAATTCAAAGAAAGAGTGACCGCAAGAATCGCCTGTTTGGTCGCCACCCTCGAAAGTGGACTTGAATTCGATCCTAAACGATAATTCATGATAAGACATTAACCCTCTAAAAGTTGGGAGTTGAGCATACTTTTAATTCCTGAGATCTCAAAGTTGCTCTTATACACTATCTTATACACTGCCCACCTGGTAAGATATTACATGAATCCATTAATTTGTTTAAATAAATTATAAAATAATTTTTATTACATGAATTATCATCTTGTGATGCCATATCTGCTTTTGCAACGTTTGAAAAAGATCGATCTAATGGATTTACATGAGCATTAATGGATTCATGTAATATCTTATCAAGGTGGTATAGTGTATAAGAGCAACTTTGAGGTCTCATATCTCAGGAACTAAAAGTATGCTCAACTTTAAACTTTTAGAGGGTTAATGTCTTATCATGAACTATCGTTTAGGATCGAATTCAAGTCCACTTTTGGGCGAGGGTGACTAAATAGGCGATTCTTGCGGTGTTTTTGCGGTTACTCTTTATAGAAAGGTGGAACAATTAATAAGTTTTATTGATTTTTTATTTTTCAGCACGTTCTAGTATAGATACTAGTAGCATGCACCGTGGCACTTATGAAAAGACTCAACGTTTAGAAGAATCCAAGTTTGTCGAGCCACAGTACCACATCGAAGAAATTTCTAAATCAAAACCGATTTTCATTCAACCATTGAGTGATCCTAAACCAGTTAGCGAAGGCAAAAATATTCATTTGGAATGTCGTTTGGAGCCGATGGGCGATCCAACGATGAGAGTTGAGTGGTTCCAAAACGGACGTCCGGTTACTGTCGGTTCTAGATTTAGGACTTACTATGATTTCGGATTCGTTGCACTTGATATAGTGCACGCTACCATTTACGATTCTGGCGAATATACGGTCAGAGCCACTAATCATTTAGGTACCGCGCATACTTCTGCTTGCGTTAGAGTTATCGGTAGATCTGACATCCTTACCGAAACGCAAAATGAACAATCACTTGAACAAATACAAATGTTGGAGGACACATCAAGGTTTATATTTTATTTTTAAGACTTTTATTTATCATACACCTTGCCATTTATATTTTTTTATAATTATTATCTCATTTGTTATTTTATTTGTATATAGATATCGCAAAACTCAGCAAGAGGAAGTCACTGTAATGCAAGCACCTCAATTCACTCGACCTCTGCACAATATTGAGACAGTAGAACTGACCAATGTTCATCTTGAATGCCGTCTTCAGCCAGTTGGTGACGTGACCATGAAAGTCGATTGGTTTGTTAACGGTCGACCAGTCAAGACTGGTCATCGATTTAGGCCATCTTATGAATTTGATTACGTAGCTCTAGATATTCTCGGTGTATATCCTGAAGATTCTGGTGTTTACACCTGTCAGGCTAGAAATCAGCTCGGTGAAGCAGTTACTTCATGCTCCGTAAGAGTACATGCCAAAAAGGATTTACTTCTTGAATCTCAACATCCCGAAGGATTGGAAAGAATACAATACTTGGAGGATGCTTCACGATACAAAAGACATGAATTAATCGATGAAGTTGTCAATGTAAAGCCAAAATTTATTACTAAACCGAAAAATCAAGAGAATCTTCGAGAAGGACAACATGCTCATTTTGAGTGTAAACTGGAGCCGGTAACAGATCCCAATTTGAAAGTCGAGTGGTTTAAGAATGGTCGTCCAGTGACAATAGGTAATTTGTCAATCATCATTTGTCATCTCTTTTACAGTAACTTTAATATATATTTATTATTATCTAATACGATTCTTTTCTTTTCTCAAATTTATCAACAAAATATTTAGTCCATCTTATCTTGTACAAATCAATTCGCAGGACACCGCTTCCGTCCAATTCACGATTTTGGTTATGTTGCATTGGATGTAATTGATTTGATTGCCGAAGACTCTGGAACATATACCTGTCGTGCTGTTAATCTAATAGGCAGTGATGAAGTACTCTGCACTTTAACATGTCGCTCGAGTGCGCAGATATTAACGGACACGCAAAATGAACTTGGATTCGAACAGATTCACTATCTCGAAGATAAGTCCAAATATCATAGACAAGAAGTAATTGAAGAAACTACCACTCAAGCGCCTATTTTTACAACTTCATTAAATAACGTCGAAATCAAAGAGGGTCAACGAGCACACTTTGAATGTAGACTAATTCCAGTGTCTGACGCAACGATGAAAATCGAGTGGTTTCATAATAATAAACCCGTGAAAGCCGGCTCGAGGTTTATCGAAACAAATAGTTTTGGTTTCGTCGCTCTCGATATCATGTACGCATACCCCGAAGACTCTGGGACATACACTTGTAGAGCTAAAAATATTATTGGTGAAGCTATTACTTCCGCAACCGCTATTGTTCATTGTAAGTCTTTATCACTTTGAGATTTATTTAACAATCTTCTCCAATATCATTAATATTAATTTACTTCATTTTTTTATTTAAAAAGCTAAAAAGTCTATTTACACGGAGACTCAGAGCGAGGAAACTCTTCAACGTCTTCGTTCATTGGAGGATACGTCTCGTTATCAACGTAAAACCGCAACCGAGGAAATTATTACGCAAGCGCCTGTCTTTACGATGCCGATAAAGGATCTTCGTGTTGCTGAGAATCAGGCAGCGCACTTCGAGGCACGTGTTATTCCAGTTGGAGATCCCAAACTTAGGGTAGAATGGCTACGTAATGGTGTTCCTATTTCAGCTTGTAAGTCTAATATCTTGAAAGTCCATACGTTAAAGCATGTTATGCTATATATTAAGATCCGTTAAAAATTTCTTTTATCACTTTTAATTTTTTAAAAGCAAATCGTGTAACAACTATGCACGACTTTGGATACGTTGCCTTAAATATGAAGTATGTCAATCCTGAAGACTCGGGTACTTACACGTGCCGTGCCACAAATGAACTTGGAGAAGCAGTTACTTCAGCAACATTATTTGTTCAATGTAAGTATGCCGCTGATTTAATACACAATTTAATAAAACATATGTTTCACACAACTCGCAAGTTAATTTATGAACTGATTATTTATGATACAGTCAACAATATCTATGTATATTTTATAAATTTGGCAAATCCCATAATATCCCATAATCCTAATTAACATCGATTTATTAATATCGATTATAATTATATTATTAACTAAAAACGATATTTAACATTCTATCTGAATTTGCCACTTAATTTCGTTATTACGCTTTTACATTTTATTCTTACGCTTCATTGATTTGATGTACTGATTACTGTTAAACTTATTTGCTACTACTCGCATTGCGTATTTGTTTGATATATTGCGATTTCATTGAAAATTTTCGTTGCTGTTTGCATAATTCAATAAATGTGTATAACTTTTTTTGACGCAATTCTTACAACTACGCTATGTTAAAAATTCTTCTAAAATGCAGCCAAGGCAGCCTTGCAGTTTGAATCACAACACGAGGGCGCTTTATCGAAACTCCAAGCCTTGGAAGATACTACAAAATATCAACGACGTGAGGAAGAAGAAATCGTGGTAAAAGACAAGCCATCCTTTACGGTGCAATTGAATGGACCTACAAATCTAATCGAAGGTCAAAGCGCACATTATGAGTGTCGCATAGAACCTTATCCCGATCCTAACATGAAAGTGGAATGGTTCCATAATGGTAAACCATTATCCACCGGTCACAGGTACAGAACTATCTGTGATTTTGGATTCGCATCGTTGGACGTATTGACCGTATATGCTGAAGATTCGGGCACATATACTTGCCAAGCCACCAATAAATTGGGATCGGCGAAGAGCTCGATTAATCTTGATGTAAAGTGTGAGTAATACAAGAACGCATTTGCGTGCCAACATAGCTTGAACTAGCCGATTCTATTGTACGTATTCGTATGTACATTATATCACTTCAACTGTTTCTTCAATTTATAACTTTAATCTATACGTTATACTTATTTTTACGTCTTCCCCTTTCCATATCTCTTTGCATTAATTTAAAGAAAAATCTTTTTTTAGCTCGAGCATCAATTATTCGTGACACGCAGCATGAAAGCGCATTAAAAAAGATACAATACCTCGAAGATGATTCAAGATATAAACGTGTGATGGAAGAAGATACGATTATCGCCGAGAAACCCACTTTTGGACGACCATTGAAGAATATTGAACATCTCCCAGAAGGCAAAAGCGCTCATCTCGAAGCTACACTGACTCCCGTAAACGATCCGACAATGATTGTTGAATGGTTTAGAGATGGACGTCCGATTCCTCAGGGACATAAATTTAAAACGACCTACGATTTTGGATATGTTGCTCTCGATATTCTTTATGCTTATCCTGAAGATTCGGGTACTTATATGTGCAAAGCAAAGAACGCCATTGGCGAAGCAGTCACTACTTGCGTGATCAGCGTAGACTGTAAGTAATATTTTATCCTACATTTAATCATAGATCAGATTTAACATGATCAAATGTGATTTAACGATTAAATAATATTTCTTTCTTTTCTTTCGTAAACTTTTGAAAGAAACAAAAGAATGAATACAAAATAAGGCAATCTTTCATATTTATTTCGCAAAAAATTACAAACAAAATTACAAAAATAATAGCAAGTTTCACACAACTTGCTATTTTACAATGTTATTAATCAAAATTGTGAATGGATATTTCACCAATTATTTTAATAGCAAAACAAGGTTTATATCTCGATACGTTGGATGCGCAACGTCTGCAAAAGATTCGCGAATTGGAAACTATCGAAGTTAAAGAAGAAGTTGAAAAGGAGATCATTCATCAAAAACCTATATTTTTGACACCATTGAACAATCTGGATCATC